TACTAAACAAGATAGTCTCTACTCTAAACCTATTTAATTAGTATATCTAAGTAAAACCCAGGTGGGAAGAACTTCCTCGACTTTAATTTAAAATACTTCCTCTAACGGATAGTACCCCGGTTGTAGAGAGATCAGCAATATGTCTCAGAGTATTGTTTGTACGAAAAGATAATCCATTCGAGGCACATATATTCATATGTTTGTTGTTACCGATCCGATTTGGGAAATAAATAATACTGACTAATTGGTATATATGATATCAATCTTTTGGAGAGAGTAAGCTGAAATGCCCACTTTTTACAAAATTTCCTCGAAGAAAAGTGGTGGGCCAACAAATATATGTGAGGTTCTTCTTGTAAGTTTTACAGTTGTATCGCCCAGTTTCTAAACTTCTTCTATTCTTGGTGAGAGCCTAGCTACTTCCTGTTCCCAGAATAAACCTTCTGGTTTGGATGCTAAATATCTTTGGGAGTCTGTCAGGCAAGAAACTTGACCCAAAGAAAAACTACCAGAAAATACCCACTTCTCGGTGTATCATGTTTGACTTAGGCTTCGTCGACAACAGCCTACTTAACGTAGAACCAAGAGTAGTGTCTATTTAGTTGCTTTTCTATACTTTTTACTGTAGTTCGGTTTTTTTGTTGTTGACCAAGAGATCATCAAAAAGAGTGTAAATAGACAATGTAAGTTCTTTTATTATTTATTATTTATTATTATTATTATTATTTATTAGTTTTATTTAAATTAATCAATCAAGAGATAATGAACAATCTGTATTGCTCTGCTCATAAGACCATACTATATTGTGTAGTTTTTGGGCAATTTGCTTATAGTGATACTAATATAGTTAAAAATTTACAAAATGATGATGATAATAATAATTTATTTGAAGATGATAACTATTACAATTTATTTGAAAAAAATAATAACCATCATGATTCATTTGAAGAAAATAATCATGATTCATTCAAAAAAAATAGTAACTATTATAAAGAAAATAATAACTATTATGATTCATTTGAAGAAAATAATAACTATTATAATTTATTCGAAGAAAATAGTTACTGTTATAAAAAAATAATAACTATTATGATTTATTCGAAGAAAATAGTAACTGTCATGAAGAAAATAATAATTATCATACTTTATTTAAAGGAAATAGTGACTACAGTCAACTCTTCCAAATCCGGACCTGGATAATCTGAACCCTTAATAAACTCTGTAAAAACCGAACACAAAGCTTCGGAACATTTATAAATTTTATTATAAAGTTCGGATCAGCAATATAGTAACACTTTGGAAACTAAACTTTTTGTTATTTTTACATATAAGAACAGATTGTTCAGAATAGAGAGAGTTGACTATATTATAAAGAAAATGATAGCTATTACAATTAATTTGAAGATAATAACTGTTATGATTTATTTAAAAAAAGGATAACCATTATAATTTATTTGAAAATGAACTTGATCCACATTATTTTTTGCCAAAAAATGATCCTGATAATTTTTCTGAAGAAGAATCATATAATTCTTTAGATTTTTCTGAACATATAAATAAAAGTGAAAGTAATACTAAATCTAACAATAATAATATTACAAGTTCAGGAGTTATTATAATTAGTGACTCTGAAGTAGAAACTACATATACTACTTATGAAAAAAGAAAATGACGGATTAATTTTCCTGAATTACAAGAAATAAAAACAATTGAAAATGAAGTAATTTATTATATACAAATAATCTGTTATATTTTATTTGTAGTCTAGCTGATTATTAACAAAATAAATTTCAAATTTTTTTTTAGAGATTACCATTACACACTATTATAAATTCCATCTGACCTTCATTTAATAAACATGAAAAAATTCGAAAAGCAGCTATTCTAAATGTCAGAATAAATCAGGAAGCTATCCGAAGGACTATGGAGATAAAATATAAAACTAAAAAAAATCGTATTTTTGAACTTGGAGATTTAGTAAAAATCAGTATCCCTAATATTGATAGAGTAAAAATGGACCAGAAATCATTACCATGTAAAATCATTCAAAAAAAACCAAACCAGGATTCCTATCAAGTCGCTTGTCAATTTGGAATACTGGAAAACTGGTATCCGGCTAGTGAACTTATGCCTTTAGGCACACCCGATTATCCTAATCTTATTGTTCCATTGGATAAAAACTTTCACTAAGGCATGTAAGTATCAAGCAGAATTATTCACACCAAATTCAATCTTCAAGGCAAAGTTTCAAATCTTACGATTTTTCTGAGTAATTTTATTTATTTATATTTATATATA